TGCTCGCAGCTGCGCATGCGGGTCGGACGCCCGGGGTGGCCACGGGCTTTTCACCGCCGGCCGACCTAGGCGAGCTAGATTTTGTTCGCTCGGCTTCCGCCACTATTGGCACGAGCCAACGGCCGGCGTGGGGCACGAGCAATATAATAAAATAAAAATAATGGATCTGATTTCTGATTGCCTCCGAAGTGCGGAATTAATGGCCATCCAGCTGGCCATTGAACCCGCAGCTTTCAGCCCACGTAAGAAAATCTACATCTACACAGACGCCAAGAAGGCCTTCGAGGAGTATTGTAACCCCTAGAGCAGAAGTAAGACGGTGCAAAAACCATAAGGTGGATCTCGGGAAATACCCGGGAACGACGCCGCGGACGCTGCCGCACGGGTCTTCCCCCCTTCTCATCAATTACCCGGCCTTGGCACGGACAGCGACGACGATACAAAAATTGAGCACTGGATCTCCAATCCAACCGGAAGCAGAAGAAGTCGACCCCTTGGCACTCAAGGCTGTCGAACTCCAGGCACGCCGCGAGCGGCTCAAGAACCTCCTTTGAGAGGACCCGCCTCCCCTCCCAGCGGATAACTACACCCGTTGGGAGAAAGTATGCCTTAGAAGATTACGCACCCATACAGCAATGGTTCCAAAACGCGCAGCCATTTTCAAGAAAAGCAGACAAGCAGCGAAACAGCAAGAGACAGAACTTCAGGACTCACAAGCAGGACCCTCGACCCAACCCAGGAACGAGAGCTTATGTGAATACTGCGAGGAGACCGCCTCGGAGACCCACGTCTTCTGCGACTGTCCTCGCACTCAAGAGACGAGATGGAAAGCCTTAGAGGCATTACCACTTCAAATGCTACCGAATAGCTTTGAAGAATGGGTCCTGCCCACTGGATCCCGCAGGATCGCAAGGCAACCCTCGATTCCCTCGTCACATACGTGAAGGAGGCCAAACTCACACAATTCCTCTAAAAAAAATTAACATAAATTCATTTGCTTAAAGAAGATGACTTAAGTCAAGTTCGGCGAGCATAAATCACATTTTTATAATTATAATAAAGACATTTTCCAACCAACCAACCGCGTTCGAAGCATTCAGACGTACTGTGTGAACACCCTATGTGCTGATGTTGTTGTGCATTGGTGGTGCAGACGAGTTTTCAATGTTTGCAAGTGCGTCACTTCTGTGGAAATGTAGTCGCTCACGCAACTGATGCCTTGACATCATGTGTTGGTTTTGGCGGCGTTCATCGCTTGTTTGTCACGTGGAATTTGGTTCCCTATGAACACGCGGCGGCGTGTTGTAATAGATTTTGGCAGCGCGGGAATTTCGCCGTTAATTTTTGCTCCACTTAGTTCAGCCTTTAGATGCGAGCCTGTAAATGACTAGCGTCAGATTATGCATGAGTTACAATTGTAGGTGGAAAAGAGCTTCTGACTGTGGTGCCATTTTCAGCGCTTGTACGTATACGGCGTGGGCTTTGCCCGCTTTCGGAAGTTGTGAAGGTCGCATGCTGAGCTGTAAAGATCGCATGCTGAGCAGTGCGATCTTCACAGCCCAGCATTTTGTAAACAAAGAGCTTCTGCAGCCAGTACGATCCTCAGCGTTCGTGTATATCGGTGGCCGAACGGGCTAGTGCACACCAGCTCGGAGCACGATGAGCGAAAGCTCGCGCTGCAGAACCCAGGGGTCCTGGGTTCAATCCCCACCCCTCCCCGTTTCGATAGGGACGATCGTGTATCACTACTGCGTGGTGCACGTTAAAGACCCCAGGCTAGCGGTTGTGCTACACTGTCTAAATTTCTCATCTACAGCTGGGAGACAAGTCGCCCATTGAGGTAGACTGAGTTCTAGGCTGTATAAACATACACACACCCCAATTTTAATGCGAAAGCATTAACTGTCTCATGGAGCGAGCTGACGTCATCAGTTTGAAGCGCGAAAACGGCTCCTAGTTTCCGCCGCGATCCCAATAGGAGCGATTCGCCTTCCGTTCCATTGGCTGGCGCGCGCCGACGGGGCTCCCATCAGCCGCTGCTCTATGGCCTCCGAGACCCCGAAGGCAGCAGACGACAAAGGGAACGGACGAGCAGACGACAAAGGGAGCGGGCGAGCGGCTTGCATGTGTTCGCATTCACAACTCATAAGAAATGCTTAGGTATACCTCGAGCTTTTGTTTCCGCGCGATGGCAGGCGCCGAAAAAATTAAAAAAAACAGCATTCCCCTCCCCAATTCGCAATTAGAAGAAGCGGCCATGTGACCTGACGCAAGTTATATACCGTCAGTGTTCATCATAGTCATGCACTAAGGATGGCAGAGAATAGAGCATGTGCCGAGTTTTAGACATTATTCGAGTTCGGCTATTCTCATCTTAAGATTGAACACGAGTCATTTCCCCAATGTTTTGAAGATGGTGATTGTCCTGAATCCGATTACTCAAATCGAACTCGTGAAAGTTGAGCACGTCATGGTATCACGTGACTCGCGGTGCGAAGTTGTGATGTCATGTGACGTCAGAGTATGAATAAAACTAATAAATCTAATGGCGTTCTCAGTTTAAATCGACTTGATGCAGTGAGTCACGGGGTCACGTAACATAGCATTACTTGACAGCCTGTCTTGACACCATGACATCACGTGACCACGTGACACATGATTGATAGTGCCCAATACAGAAGCTTCCCCCCAAAAACCCCAGTTCTCATACATTGCAATTCTGAATTCGAAGATTTGATCAATTATATAAAATTACAGCTTCCAATTCTTTTTTTTTTTCAAATATTTATTTGGTGATACGAGCAAAAAAAAAAATTTACCGTGAACCGTTTTATACCGGTTACAGTTATACTTTTTCCCGGTTCTGCTCCGGTCCAGTCCCAAGACGGCGGCGAAGGATTCGGTTCGGTTCAGTTCCGGTTCGGCTAAAAATAAAGGTTCGCTTCAAGTTCTCCGTTCGGTTCGGTTCCGGTTCGACACTCTGGTTTGCAATTAAATAGAAGTTCCACCATTGCGCACTTTTATGCATATTTGACTGTTTCTTTTAATAATGTAATAAAATGCAAAAAAATTAAAAGCACGTTCAGAGAATAGAAAAGTACGAGACGCAGCTTTCAAAGCAATTATTTTGTAACATAAAAATATGTATGTATAAGACGTATGAAAGCGGATAAAATAAAACCGAGGTTTTATTTTAGGTATTTAAATACTTTACTTTAAGTCTCTACTTTATGTATTCAAATATTTCAAGACAAGTCAAGCTGACGCAACCCTAGTGAAAATTCTTAAATCTATAAGAAATGTCTTGATCCAATAAACGCATATGATCAAATAAGATAATATAAGAGCACGCACGAAGCTTATACGAACATGTAAGAACAATATAAATTATGCAAGAAGTTATAAGAAAGTTATTATCACTTATATCGAACTGTATGACAACGGTTTTGTTTCTAGTCCCTAATGCCATTTTTCATATTGTCACGAATGACAAAATAAAAACTGTAGAGAACTTGAAAAAAAAAAAAACGAAATGTGTTAAAGGGGTGAACTTGCGCCAAATAATAAAGCGCAATAATGGCCGTCTATGTCGGCGAGGCAGCGGGATCAAGCGCTAGTGGAAGACTGACTTGATGCTGTAGGCTACGCCTGTTTTTATACACGGGCCCCGTTCCTGAAACCTCTTACCCAGAAGATACAATGACCAACGAGAAACCACTGGAACTTTCCAGCGGGGCATCAAAAGCGTAATATACAGGGTGTCAAAAAAACAAAACAGTAACAAGGTTTTTTTTTTTATTATTATTATTGCAAAAATAAACTAGGCATTGCCGAACGCTCATTCTCCGCCCAAAGGTAGCACTAGAGGTCACAACCAGATGCCAAAGATTCAGCCCGATCCGATACCTTATTCAAAAGTTATAAGTGATTTTCTGAAAATTTCAGGTTTCTGCCGCCCCCATAGAGCCCCATATATTCGAAAACTCCGTCGGCCGCCAGAACTTTTCAGAAAATCACTTATAACTTTTGAGAAAGGTATCGGATCGGGCTGAAACTTTGGCATCTGGTTATGACCTCTAGCGCTACTTTTGGGCGGAGAATGAGCGTTCGGCGATGCCTAGTTGATTTTTGAGGCTAAAGGAAAAAGAAGAAAAAACTTTTTTTTTTCTTTTGTGACACTCTGTACACGGCGGGATTTCAACCTGATTCAGTCGAGCCTTGTGCGCTGCCCACACGGCCGTACAGGCGGCATTATGTTGCTTGCTTCGATATGTCGATAACCTAGAGTGCACATGCAAAAGTATGTAGACAATACACACGCTATCGCGCTCAAGTTTGCTTCAGGACTATTACACCGCACATAGGAGTCTTTAAGCCAACTCTTGTGCCAATTTTTTTTTTTTTTTCTCTCTACAACAATGCTCGTGTATATGGTAGCCCGTGCATACGCGAACCGGCGCTTTTGAGAATTCTTGAAGTTTTTCTTTTTCTCAAACTAATGACATCTTGCATGAGCGTTCAACAAGAGTGACTTCCAGTTAGACGACACAACCTTTCACGCGACATTCGCGACACTAATGTTTCGGTCACTTATACGTAACGTAAAAAAACCTGGAGTGTTATAACTTTGGACGTGATTTTATAAAGCAGATCCAGCACATATGCAATTTCATTTGGCCATATTTAATCGCAAGAAATTTATCGATTCCTATTTTCGGTAAAGTTCTCGTAATTGAGTTGCCTGCAATGTCGGTACAGTTGCCTAACGAAAAATGTCATAATTTTCCTTCGAGATTCCGCTTAACTGACCCTCGTCATCTAAGGCGACGGTACGTCTACGTCGCTTTTTACTGCCACCGCCTAAACAACAGTCCGGTTGTTCGTTTTCTTTTTGTTGCGGGAAGCGTAGTAAATATAAAACTGGCGAAAATATGCGTAACTTAGGTGACCCTTAATGGTACGGTGAGCAATTTCAGGAGGAAACGTGATCACGAAATTGCTCATCGCGCCATCTTGAACATCGTGGTCAAGAACTGGTCGTAGGTGATCTTCGCTTGCCCAACCTGGCCCGTATCGAACGTTTTGAAGGCTTCTGTGGCGTACTGCAGGATGATGCAGAGTCGCACAAAGTCTGCCACGTTGATGCGATTGTCCCCGCTCTGGTCGAAGCGCCGTATCATCACATGACACAGTCCGAGAGACAGCCTGAAGTTCAGTTGCATGAAGGCCGATTGCAGCTCCGTCTTGTTCAGACGATCACCCTTGGGCTTGTCGGTTCTGCGTCAAGATGAGAGCTTTACTCACCCATCTCGGAGTGGTTAATGCGCCTTTTGCAAAAAATTCAAAGGGGTCGCGCGTATATGCTCTTTCTTGCTCCAGCTGCACATGAAAGTAGATGCACTCAACAGACTGTGAGCTCAAGTTACGTGGTCTGGTGACACTAGGGAGTTGTAGTAGATCGTTTTTCTCCTCCGCTACGGTATCCGTAAAGAAAACGCCGCAGCTAAACGTGCGCGCCGCCAGCTTTGTCTGCCTAGTTCAAGGTCTTGTGGCGGATTACGGTGCGTTATCCGCGTGCTCAGCGGGCTGTGGAAACTGCCTACTAAAACTCCCTACTGTGACGTCAAGGGGCGTGGTTACGGGACGCTGTTACGTCAGATTACGTGATCACGTGGCGCTGTGACGTCAAGTTCCATGATTACGTGACACTGTGATTCACCCAAGCAGCACAGATTTTGCCAATCATTGGCCAATGGCTGACAATGGTCCTTCGGCCAGTGGCCAGACAGTGGCCAGCCATTGGCCGATGACTGGCCGATGGCTGGTCATCAGCCATTGGCCAGTGGCCAATGGCTGATGACTAGTGGCCACTGGTCATCAGCCATGACCTGATGACCATCAGCCACTCTTTGTGGCTGATGGTCATCAGCCACAAACTAGTGGCCACTATAACTTGCTCAAGTAGCACGGATTTTGGCCAAGCATCGGCAAATGGCTGGCGATGGCTACTCTTTGGCCAATTGGCCAAACGACCATCGCCAGCCACTTGCCGATGCTTAGCCAAAATCCGTGCTACTTGAGCAAGTTATATGGTTATATAGTCAAGTTACGTGTTCCCGTGACGTCAAGGTACGTGGTCAAGTGACACAGTGATGCCAAGGTACGTAGCTACGTGACACTGTGAGATCAAGCTACGCGGTCACGTGAAACAGTAACGTGACGGTGTCACATGACGGTGGCGTCACGCCAGGTGAACCCCTAACCCACAGCGGCACCAGCCCTATGACCATGTGTCCCAGATTAGCACCAACCACTCGATCCTCGCACGCCCACGTTACATCATGTTTTCGTTACAACTATTCGTCACGCTCTATATATACTCGTATTCACCTCAGGAACCGTAGAGAAAAAAAAGTCGCCTCTTTGCCGTACTTGCGTGCCCAAGGCTTTTGGCAACGCAGAACGTGATGTAGTGTGGAGAAACTGCGTACAACATGTGGGGACTGGAGGGCGCGAAGCGGCCCTGTACCGTGCAAAGCAAGTGAGTGGGCGCTTCATGGATATTTTACTTGTTGGTGCCATCTTCCGTGGTGGCGGTGTAAATGCAACTTTCTCAGAGCCTGTTGGAGTGCGAGAGGTAATAGACAGAACGCGCGGAAAACAGAACAATTGGAATGCGGCAACGCCGAACAGAGCCCCGGCACCAGCTCGTGGCAAAAGATATATCAAACAACCCGTTGCGGCAAAGGAGCGTGCTCCTTTTTTTCCCCCTCTGCTTTTTCGTTATTTTTTCTTTTCTTTTTTTCCTTTCGTTTTTTCTCGGGGGAAGCCCAGAGAGCGCTCGGTTTCACGGAGCAGAGCACCGCTGTATGTCTACACACGTGATATTTTAACCCCACTGAAAGTAACATGGAGGCACTCGAGAAAGAGGTTCGGGTGGCACATGGTGTCCTGGCACTCAATAAGGAGACGAGCGCTGCGTCAGGGTTCGAGTGGCGTTCGGCCTGTCGGTTGACATCTGTTGCTGGCACCTCGTCGTATATGGTTAGGTGCCAGTCATATAATGCATTGCGTTAAAACGCAATCCGTGTTAAAGGGGTACGGCAACAAAATGACGTGGCCGCGAGCTCTCTACCTCTCGCTTGAAAGTCGGCCAGCGAGAAGCGCAATGCGTATCGCACTCGTGACGTCAAGGGCCTCTGCACGGCCACGGGTACTTCAGTTACGAGCATTGCCGCTTGGTGGCGTCAACGCGTGACAATCTCGTCTAGTACTAATATCCGCGGACTGTACGCCCTATGGCCTCTCCGCGACTCCAAGCAAATGCTTTCAGGCCCCCACTGAACAGCTTCGTTTTTTCACCACCACGCTTCGCGACCAACAATCTCGTCGCATAAAAATAAGTTTGCGCGAGACCCTCAATGGGTAAGCTCGAGTAATAGAACGCTTAGTTCCGTTTGTTTTGTTGGGGTCGTGAATCATTCGCGGCCATGCCAGTATTTTGTGTCGTGAGCGTTCGGTTAACCTGTTAGCTTCACACCGCATAAGTAGGAGCTCGAGAGAACCAGTGAGTAGAAATACCCGACTGTACCCAGCACTGCCGACACCTCCAAGCTATACACACACACACACACACACATATATATATATATATATATATATAACGTGTTCCAACCAAAAATTACAGGTTTTTGTGTTTTTTTTTATCGCAAAAATAAAATGCACGTTGCTGAACGTTCATTATCCGCCCAAAGGTAGTGCTAGAGGTCCGAACTAGTTGCCGAAGTTTTCCCATTGAAATTATCTTATCGGAGCGCATCTTTGCGCACGCGGTCCTGATCCCCGGTGATCGCGGCGCGAAGCCACCGGCTCGCCTCCCTCGTAGGATGGAAGGATGTATGGGGCACGTGTGTTGTGCGTCTCGGCCACTGGGGAGCAGGACAGCCGGCGCAGAGATGCGCTCCGATAAGAAACCGAAACCTAGAAACGCGTCCAAATTGAGCGTTTCTAGGTTTCGGTTTCGGCAGCTGAAAGTGACCCCCAACATTCCTAGAACCCCTCAGTTAAGAAACTGCCATAGAGCCTGCTTTAAAAAACTGGCTCCGATCCGTACTCGAAAACCGAGCTAATGGCGATCGCAACGCTGCCATTTCTACCGCTGCGTCCACTTGCACGGCTGCACGTCCAGTCGGGCAAGGGCCGGTGGCGCCATCTCGCAGGACCATCTCGCAGTAGCTATGTAAAGAAACTTTTATGTTTCAACTCGTCGCTAAAGGGTGGCGCTGTTATCGTGTTTGGCTTAGAGCATAGAGATTATATACTAAATCTAGAGGAAAAGGTCCGCCATTTTCCCATACATTCTGGCTGCCGCAAGCGGCGGACCATGCAGGCAGACCCTCTGGGTCCCAAACACGGTTACATCATCAGAGCAGTTTCGTGAACTTCAACAATCCACGAACTTACCGGTGGAAAAATACTCGCGTTCCTTTCGAAGGTTTCTTTTTGCATAGCGCGCAGATGTACGGCCTCGCGTTAACGCTAAACTAAACCATATACCCGGCTTCGCTGGTGGGGCGCGGCTGGGCGCCGTTGAGGAATACGAAACTGCGCAACCACCAGATTTCCGAGATTTCGACAGAAGGGAAGTTAATGCAGCGTAATGACTTTATTGCTTTTTATAAGCATTAGAATAGCTCATAATTTAGTTTACAACGTTAAATTATCACTGTTTATATTGCTGAGAGTTTACACTCTTCGCGTTTACCGCGTTTACCATGGCAACGTTGCTTTCTTTCTCTCGTGTTCTGTCGCTCTCTTTCGCGATCGTTCACTCGGGACCCAGGATGTCGGCGCACGGGATTTGCCACTCCTCCTCACCCACCTTTACCCCCCTGGCTTAGAGTAACTGTATATGCTCCGCTTGCGGAGCTCTGCAAGCAGAGCCTATACAGTTACTCTAGTTTAGCTCGGTCTCAATGGACGCCAGCGGCCCAGGTTTCAAGGGTGAGTTTCCCAACTAAGGGTTTAGTAACGTTGGTGACCCTTCATTGGCCGCCGCCACGTTGCACATTTTTGACCACTAGACACGTGACCTTCTATTTTTGCACCTAGATTTCAACGAAGTACCGCGCACAAATAATTCCTTATTGATCTTTAATAACAGTACCGACAAGATAATTTATGTTTCGTTTGTTGTAAGTCAAAAATTTGCTTTTACGACAAAAACTTGGACAGCTTCGCATTGGCTCCGCTAGCAGGGTGTCGAACCGGTCATTATTTCGGTTCGGTTCGGGTTCGGGTTCAGTAGTTTTCCATTTTGTTCCGGTTCGATTGCGGTTTAGGGTAGCGCACATATCAGCGAGTTTTAGTAGACCGTGTTTCCCGCTCCGCGCAGCCCCTCCGCTACCCGGAACTCTACAGCCAAGGCCATCGGCGCGCAGGCGCAGTGGCGGTTTCTTCGTAGCGGAGGGCTAGCGGACCGGGAAACACGGTCTACTAAAACTCCCTAATATCACTCCAGTTACCGGTTTAACTAAGCGCGAACCGGTTCAAACCGGTTCCTAACTCGACCTTTGAATATTGACCGAGCACTTCCTGCAGCCTTTTCTGAGCACGAGATACTTGCAATAGACCCCTCCCAAAACTACTCCCTCTTCAGGCAGATCTGAAAACCCTGCACAGTGACGTGCGCAAAAGATACTACTAATTTGGCAAGGCCATTCTTCTATCCCTTTTGAAAAACAGCGCGAATAACACACGGACAAGAAGGAGAGAACACACAGGACGAGGCGCTGAGTATGAACTATCTATTCAGAACGCATACACTAGCCATTAGCTATAGTGAACAGTGAGATAGTTTTTTTTTTTTTTTTTTTTTTTTTTGGACATGGGTTAACCAGAGAATTGAAGATTGAGATTGAAGATCGAAGAAAGAAGAAAGGAGGAAGAAGACGCGATGACATATACCTGTGCTGGTGTGCTTTAATGCAATGGTGTGTTTTAATTTGATATGATTTACAAAACCTCGTGCTTAATGGCGAATGACTGGTGGAAGAAGAAAAAGAAGAAGCCGTCCTCGCGTGAATTTCTCTGTATGTGTTTTGAATAGATAGTTGATAGTCAGCGCCTCGTCCTGTGTGTTCTCTCCTTCTTGTCCGTGTGTTATTCGCGCTGCTTTTCAAAATGGATTCATACCAATTCGCCCAACTTTCCATTCTATTACTTGTATAATACTGTTCTTAAGTGAACTATATATAAGCAATCGGTTTTCCATTTTT